CCTTTGTGTGTATAAGGACAAGACAACAACAATCGTGCTAAGCAAGCTTCCTTTGATCGCTGAATGCTGGAATGACCTGAAGGTCTCTTCATCATTCGTTGAAGCTTGAGCAGTCTTTACACATATGTAGACGGGCTTGTAATCACTGAGTACCGCTTCAGATCACGTACTCGCCAGTCTCTAATCTTAAATTTCAGTCTTTGACGTTTGCTGAAGGTTCTTTGGTGTGAGTGTTGTCTTCTTGAAGTATTGTTGTCTCTGATAGATTTACAATGCAAGTTCTTCAGCGATCACTGAACATACTCAGTGAAGGTCTCTAGAACTGAAAAGACAGAAACATAAATACAACGTATAAGTGAAAAGGGATTATCATCAAATCACTAAGAGAGATGATCAACACATACATTTGATGAAATTTATTTATCTATTCGTAAAAAATGTTTTAAACCAGATTTGGTGATCTTCACCCTATAACTACAAAGAAGGGATTTTCTCACTAGACCTTTTGGTCTAACTCTCATTTTGGATTTTAAAAATATGCGTTGCAGGAACAACAGGGTCTCGGGATATTAAGGGGAAGGAGAAAATATGATTATTTTCCTTATGTGTTTATCTACCCTTTTGAAGATCAACTTGTTGCCTGTTATATTTTGAAGATACATGTTGACATACTTGTGATAGTACATGGATATTCTTTTGGAATTTTTCAGTTGCAAATTCTGTATATAGAATCCTTGTCCTAGTGGGATCTTGTGGTGTAAATTATATTTCCTTTATATGAAATTCATATTATATGCAAATTTAGAAGTTTGGGGTGTTATGGAGGTGGTATGAGAGTCTGAGTTTAAGGGATTTAGGTTTTCAAAGCATGATGCCTAGACTTAAACTGTTATTTGCATATTAAGGGATCATGGACATTGATAATACACCACTGGTAATAAATATGATGGGTTAAAGAGGATAGTATGTAAGGTAATAAGTAAGCTGATGGAAACTCTAGTATCTATTATTGGGATTACCAGCCAGAGTTGAAACTGAATAAGTTGGGTTAAATCCTCCAGTTCCAACAACAAGCAATAGGGGGGGGGACATAAAAATGTTTTTAACATGTAAACCCCCAACATTTTCACGAGAGATGGATCCAATGAAGGCAATGTGTTGGATAAAAGAAAGTGAATTGGTGTTTAATACCAGTAAATGCTCCGAAGAAGACAAGGTTAGATTTGTTGTTTCTATGTTAAAATCTAACGCATTGTATTGGTGGGAAGTGGAATCATTGTCTAAACCCGATATTCGACGATCTATGTCTTGGGAGAATTTGTAAACAGATTTAAAGAACAATTTTGTCCCAAGACAGTTGTGCGGGAATATACAAAGAAGTTTATCGAACATACCCGATTTGTGGAACATTATATTTCTTCCGAGTCCAGGAAAGTGGAAAGGTACATCTAGGTATGAAATTATTTAATCTGATAAAATTGTTTTATATAACTCTTTTCTTGATGAAATTGTTTGATATAATTGTGTTTCTATGTAAAAATAAAATTGTTCCATGTATTTCTTATTTTGATTGAATTTGTTTTTATTAAATTAATATAATGAAGATGATAATGTCCACGGCATAAAAAAAATAACTAATCAATACTTACAATTAAAAAAGTGAAGAAAAAGAAAATTAATGATTGGTTGAATGAGAGGTTTGCATCTAATTCCTATCCTATATACATGTATGCATCTACTATTATTCAATGATATCAAACGATTTAAATTAATACAATATCTAAAGCATTTTTTGAAGTAAAAACAAATTCCATAAGATTAAAATATATAAATAAAACGTGCATTGGCTTATACAGAACTTACATGATTATTATGTGCATTTATATTTTGAACCAAATTCTAAACAGTAGAATCTTATTTCAATGTAGCCTTTTTCTCTATCCCCCCAGGAGTAGAGGCTGTTTCTATGAATGCCTTCGATTGACAAAAAAATATTTTGCAATTTGGTATGGTCAGACGCTTTTACTTGAGGGGGTGCTCTTGGCCCAGTGAAGTGCATATCGGTCATTTTGGTGTTTATCAGTGGTGGTATACAATTAGTTTACGGACAAACAAGAGAGAAAATAATAACTCTTTAAAATTAAAGGATTTGATGATTTTGAAACGACACTGAAACAAAAACAAAAGAAATTAGTGGAAAAAAGAGTACGTACAATTACAAACAAACAACAAATATAGTAAACATAAAGAGAGAAAAGTAGTTTAAACCAAACCATGACAAGTAAGAGAGATGATTATTTGCTGCAATTGCTTTCTTTAATTGGATTGGAGTCGTAAGCTTATTTGTAGGATTATCTATATATATATATATAATATATATGTATATATATATATATATATGAGAGAGATTTACAGGGTCATTGATTCTGACAAACAAAAACCCCAAGTCTTTCCGATTCCGACTTCTTACTGTTGCCAATTATTGTACTGTTGGCCACGATTCCCTCCCATTGCATTGCCACGGCCACCGCCAGGTCCACCACCCCCGCTGTATGAACCACCACCGCCGCCGCCTTGAGAATAATTTGGTGGACCAACCACATAACCGCTAGTACCTCCACTACCTCGACCATATGCTTGGGGCGGCGGATATGGCCCGCTGCCACGACTTGGATGGTGATTGTATCCGCCAGAAGGGTTTCCACCGCCCTGCGGGTATCTGCTTGATCCTGCAGAAGGTCCGCCACGAGGCTTCCCATAATGATGGCCAGGTCCGCCACCTGCAACCAGCTGAGGCTGAGCACCATGCATCGGTGCATTTTGAGGTCCTGGCCTCATCTGAGCATGAGCTGCTTGGCCAGACTGCTGCTGCTGCATTGGTGGTGGGAGACGTGAATGTTGCTGTTGGTGCTGTATTTTCTGACGCTTTGCTGCTTCGTCATGTTGTCGCTGTTGCTGCCGCTTTTTCTTGGTTTGGAACTCGTGTGAAGACTCGTACTTGGGTAAGCTTGATAAAAACAAAAAACAAGGTTAAATGTCGTCAAAAGAAGTTGCAGTCTAAAAAGGGTAGATTGCATTAGAATTTGACGTAATTTGGTTCAGTTCCTATTTTTCGGCAACTTGCTTTCATTTTAGTACACCTCATATGTCACATCTCTAATATTTAGGTGCCTGAGTTTACATATAAGAATGCAACATAATTTAGTGCGCTTTCCATTGTGTAAAGTACTTCGGTTCAACTCTTCGAGATCTCATATTTGAGGTACCAAAATAAAGGTTTTGGATGTATATAACACAGAATAGAAATTAGGTCAAAGTACATAGCATTTTCATGCAGTTCAGCTGTCTTAAAGTTGAAACATAACTGAAGGAAGTTGAAGCCTACCTTTTGGGATCACAAGGTAATGGATCTATCCAGAAATACTCTGCATCTAGTGCATCCTTGGCTGATATTCTCTTCAAAATGGACAGGCCCAAAGATGGGCAATAGTCAGCATAAACAACCTCCAACACGATAGTTTTTGAGTGCACAAAATTCATGAAATTTGAAAATAAGCAACAAAAAGGACCCAAAATGTGTGCTCTTTGTAGTCGACTCTTTCCATACCCAATTAACCATGTTTCACAACCCATTGAGCTAGCTTATTTGTCGAGCTTACTGAAAAAGCTTTGTTAGGTAAACTAAATTAGAATCATGATTTCAAAAAGCTATTTCAGGTAGCATTTCAATACGCTCCATGGGTTTTTTTCCACTTTTTTTCCTCCCAATTATGCATTACATTTTTCCAAATAATTTTTCCAGGTCATTTTGTATTGTCATCTGGTTTATTAGCTAGTGTTTACCTAACGTGACTAGCTTACAAAATTATGAATAAAATATTTAATTATTAATTAGATAATTTTTTAAGTTAAAAAACTATACTTTTTTATTCATAATATATGTAATGATTACTAAAAATCATCAATCAATGTCACAAACTTTCTAAAATTCCTATTTGGTTACAATAATTGATAATTTTACAAAAATCTTTACATTACCTAACATGTGATGGTCGTGCCATGAGATCTGAGAACATCGTAATAGTATTGCAATGCAAGAAATGTCCATTAAACCTAAATAATAGGAAAACTCTATTTTTATTACTACTTATTTTAATATGAAGAGATATACTAGTGGTTTGTTTTAATTATTATATTATGTAATATTAGAATTGAGTAATTTTTTAATGTCCTTTTTGATCATTTTACATTTATCAACTAGTTTATCAGTTAATTTTTATCAACCGTAATTAGTTCATCAGGCAACAGCTAACTAACATAGCCTTAGCTGCTCCACCCTCAACACCAAGCCAACCAATCCCAAATACAACGGAACAATATACATCAAAGAGAGAGGATGGTAGAGTATAACATAGTGTGTTCTTCCAGGAAGTAGTGTATGCAGAGATGAAAATAACTAAAGCATAAAGTGTTCTTACAGCCGTTTACCAAACGCTTACTGTATGCCATTTACCTTCTGGATAAGCATTGCACGGATCTAGAATCTTACTGGATAAGAGGCATAGCGAGGACCAAGAATCTTACCCGGTAAGCACTTACCGAGTAAAAAACGCTTACCAACAATCTGTTTTGATGAACAAGAATGTCACCCAATAAGGTACTTGATGGTAGTGATCCTGCTTGTAAGCACTTACCCAGTAAGCATTTGGTAAACGGACCCTTACTATCTCTAAAATCTCCATGGATCTGAGATTATCTCTGAGTTCCAAGGTATGGGCTAGATTCTTCCCAAGTATTTTCAAGATAAACTACTTTCAGCATATGAATAGGATATACCATAAGGCTTGCAAAAGTAATTACTGAAATCATTTGTGGAGGCAGTAATAAGAGCACAAGTGAGAGGTCACTCAAAACCCTGCTGACTTCAATAAGACCTACCTGTCCAGAAAACACCATTAAGACACCACTACCAAGCTCAGTGGGAAACACTAGCTAGAGTTCCTACCATGTTACATTCCACCACCCCCCCCCCCAAAAAAAAAAAAAAAACCCAATGGCCGTAGCATGGACCAAGGGACACAAAACAAAAACTCTAAATAATATATATAGGGGATTTAAAATGGCTAACATAGAAAAAGAATCGTTGAGAGAAGACTCCCAAAAATAAGGTAAAACAAGTGCGAACATGAACAAAGCCATAATAGGGGGTGTTGTTGCTTATTTTCTATTTTGACTTCGAGTTTAAATTTTCTATTTTCAAGTTTGCTATCTGACTAATTAAATTCACATGGTGTTTGTCTAACTACATCCTTTTTCGCTCAATTGAACCCCTACCTAAAAAAAGTTCCTAAATCTACGATAGGTATCATCGACCATCAGGAACAACCTTAACCAATGAGAAAAATATCCAACTTAAATAAATGAGTGAAAATGAAAGGAAATGGAACTCCAATACAAAATAATCCAAGTACAAAATAGATGAAACCTTTTTAAACATATTCATAGTAGTTTTACGGTCACAAGATATTGGCATGTGAATCAAACTAATAACTTGAGGCATGCATGTCTAACAAAGCAATACCTGAGAAGGATCAAGAGTCAGCATTTTCTCAAGCAACTCCAAAGCGTGCCGATCAAAGCTACAATGGAAGGGGGGAACAATATAAGGTCGAAATTTACACATCCAATCCAAATTCCAATCATCATAAAGAAAGAGTTCCTTCTACATACTGTCTGAAGACCTCTCGAAGACGCCTTTTCAAAGGCCTTGTGGGCTTGAAGTTGTTGTACCAAGGAATCTTAGAAACGCCAGGCCAGTTAATCTCATCAGGAGCTCCACACAGTTCAAAGATTTTACTTAGTTGCTCGGGCTAATAATTTTCAAAAACAACCAAAGATAAATGATGAATTAATTTAGCTATTCACCAGAGGATTCAGAGGACAACATGTATCAAGTCAATGCCCAAGTAGAATACAACCAAGCCATTGCAAAAATGGAGTATACACAGCAAAAGTGCATGTGGTATTAAGAAGCACAGCTCTTAGTGCCCGGCATCAAAAAAGATGTAAAAAGTTTCGAGGTTAACATTCTGATACATCAGCCATTCATCAAGGGCCAGTAAGATTGAGTATCTAGAGAAGTCAGTTCTATTTTTTCCGTTATGAGTTATCATTGTTTCACAGGTATTTATCCAGAAGTTAAAAACAAGATTATGTGCTACTAAGTTCTATATTATTCTCATTCTATATCCAGGCTTCTAAGGAGTTCCAAGATTTACTCAAAACACACTTAAAACTCCTACAAAAACCAGTCATTTTCAACTTATTTGGAGTGGGATAGGCACTTTAGAAGAGGCTGAAGTACGATGACTCTGAACAAAGATTTCAAAGAGAGAAATGGGGAAAATAAAACCGATGTATACTGTTATAACACTCTAAACCATTCCACATTTAGGCACTTACCAGTTACCACTTCACACTTGCTTCTCCTCCAACCCTCACAGTACTTTATCAATAAAGTTTCTCCAAAAGGGTTTTGCCCCCTTTTTCCAAAAAAAAAAAAAAGCATGCAACAACTGTACTATCAGCAGCAGCTCATATTCTTTCTTAAAGCAGAAGTGAAAAGTTTGAATATGCTATAAAGAAATCCAAAAATCAATATGCGCCTCCATCTCATATTTAGGGGCTATTTATTAAGAGCTTATCGGGTCACTTATTTTCCTGGACTAACATGACAAGGGCCAAGAATCTTACTCGGTAAGAGGCTAGGTGACGCAAGGCAATGAACGAGAGTCTTACCTGGTAAGTGAGGGTGACGACTCTTACCAGGAAAGATTGTTGCATATGATGCCATTTTAATGGCCAAGAATCTTTCCAGGTAAGGTTAGTGAAAGTGCTGACTCTTACCGGCAAGCAATTTGGTAAACGGCCCCTTATTGTCAATTAAGCAAATTGAAGTGGGGCTTCTTATTAAGGAGTCTTTTACTTTTTTAATCCATGTTACTGTAAATGGCAAAAAGAGATGGACTATGAATTTCTAAAATCATGAAACCTTATCCAAATGAAGGGAGTAAGATTTATAGTAATAACGACTATTAACACGAATATAAATTACTGGAGAAAAACAATAATCATAGATTTTGATTTACGGCTGTATAGAACTAATAATAGTCAAAATTAATATTTATTTCACTTGTAATCAGCATGTATCTAAGACATTTTGTTGGTTATTCATCTAAAATACAATTCAATCCATTCGTAAATGTCCAAATCACAATGTATGATGAACTAAAGAGATACAATATACCAATTTTCAAGTACAACCCGCGGTATTCAATTAACAATAATTCACATGCATACCATACACCTTTTACTATTAACCCCACAAAGATTTAATGAGAAGGAAACTTGCCTCGTCTTTCCCAGGAAAAATTGGTTTCCCATGCAGAAGCTCAGCAAAAATACACCCAACTGACCACATATCCACAGCTGGGCCATACTTCGTGGTCCCTAGCAGCAACTCTGGTGGTCTATTTCGATCATAGTGAATCAAAAGATTTCAAATATTTAAATAAATATGTATACAAGCCTATTATAAAGGACTACATCACCCAACACATGTTTTTCCTTTTCCAAATACGCAGAATATATATATATATATATATAGCTAGATCCAATTCTCCGGTTACTAGATCGACAACCATTCAATTCTCAAGGAAAGTGAACAAAAAATCTTGTACTTGAATTTTAGTATTTCTTTCACAGATGAAAGGTGGTGTTTAATAAAGAAGGGAGGGAACAAATGTAGATACCTGTACCATAAAGTAATCACACGGTTTGTAAGATTCCCATTGTGATCATTTGAAAATGAACGGGCAAGACCAAAATCTGCTAGCTTCAAATTTCCTTCATTGTCTATTAAAAGATTGGAACCTGCAGTAAAATTAGCGAGGGATTAGACCTTAAGCCAGATAAATGGAATATCCAATGATTGTAAAATATGCTTTAATATTTGTTTTAGATTCTCGAAGGAGAAATGACCAAAGATATCAAACATCCTTCAGTGTGTTCCCAATTGAACTGACAGATCGTATTTTAACACAAAATAAAATAAAATAAATAACAGAAGCATCAAGGGGCATCGAATTAAGCCTTACCAACCAAGTCAAAGACAGTAACTGAAAGATAATCGATGATATCAAAAATTAACAACAGCTGTTTAAGGAGAACAAATAAGTTTTTTGTTGTGGAAAAAGGGTCCATGGTACCCTCTGGAACGGCCCCACCATACCGGTCCCACGGCCATCATCTAGGAGGTATCATGGTATCCTAGGGCAGGGTGGACGGAACCGGATTTGAATCCGAGACCTTGTTGTGGAAAATCCACCTCCTTTCCAATGAGACAATTTAGAGGGAACAAAAAAAGAAGCTTTGTCCCTAGACTGACTTCCCATCTCAGAAGGAAAGAAAAATCGGAACAGCTGACACGCTCTATACGGTGGTAATTGTAAAAGAATTGCAAACATGGAATAGGAAGAACATTACCATAGTCTTTGGCCTAAACATAGTTGTTAAAAGCGCTAGGATCCAAGGCTCATTAGGTTCAAGGTCTTGGACTTTTTTAAAGTCGAGGGAAGGTGTATTCACGACCTGCGCCTTGGCTGAGGCGCCTTGTGGGCCTAGGAGCGCTTCATAAAGAGTTACTAAATACCAAGTCAAACCCCATTGTTAAATAAGTTTTCTCATCTTCTTATCTTCTGGACGTCTTTAGAAAATGTTATTAAATAGATGACATAAGTCAAACCCTAATATTAAACACCCGGTTCTTATAACTTCAAGCCTCTTTCTCTATAAATACCCAGACCTTAAACTTCTCCTTCATGGCTCATGCTTTCAACCCTTCTCCCTTCTACCTCTCAAAGTACTGTTGGTTGTTGGACAAGAGGCTTGTACTTGCTACATATTTAAGTTGTGTGTAAATGTGTGTGTGTGTATAAGAAATTTATATAAGATGCGCCTCACATTCCTGAGGCCCACGCCTTGCGCTAGGCCCCGGGACCCCTTTGCGCCTAAGTGCGCCTTGAGCCTTTAACAACTTTGGCCTAAAAGTAATTTCTTGTACAATTACCAACTTAATAGTGAAGCAAATTACATCTAAATAAGCACGTGCATCTACATGAAAGTGCAGGGCCTTAGAAAGTTATAGTAGAAAAAGTGGAAGCACAAAACCAATGTTTCTCTGTAGACTAAACTGGAAGGTTAGAGAGGCAAAAAAGTGGTCAAATATGCTTTCATGAATCCTGTAGTTTCTTTTATGCATATAATGTGTTCTTCCAAATTCATTTGTTACCTTACTTTTAAAAAGTCAAAATCACTTGTCATTGACTGCAAATTGGACAGGATGTGAATTTTAAATTTGGGAATGCAGATCTCTCCAAGACGACAACTTAAGAGCCTATGATCTTTCTTCCTAGTCAAATCATCTCAATTACGTTCTCATGTCTTTCTTTTCTTTTTCCCTTGATTTCTAATACATAATCGATTCCAGGTAAGCACTTCTGGTGGAAAGGTTTATATGCAATATTTAGAATTTTATAGGCATTAGAAGTTACAAAGATACATCCCTTAAATAAACTAAAATTTGTCCCAATGTGCACTTGTCTTGTTATTTTTCATCTATAAATTCAAAGAACTTGCTTTGACAATACCTTTGATGTCACGATGAAGTACTTGATTTACATGACAGTAGTGAAGCCCTGTCAAAAGCTGTCTCATATAACACTTAAAGAAGAGGAGCAGGTGAGTATACCATTTAATGTTCCAGGAATAGAACAAACAGCAAGTCAATTAATCATTGGTACCTTAATCTGTGCAACAGAAAACCTCATCCCAGGACGATCAGCAAGGCCAGTTAGGTCATGGTCCATGTACTCAAAAACCATATAAATGCCCCCCTTGTATTTATTACCGTCTGCAGTGATATTTAAACAAATCAATGCCCTGAAGCCAAATTGATAGCTGAAAATTCTAAGACCAAAAATAATGGCATTCCACATCTACATGAAATAGTTGTGATCATTAAATACTGGAATTCGTTCTCACAACAAAAACTATATTAAAAAGCACTTGCCTGGCCTGCCCTGCTCATCTTTTTCAGGACCTACACAGCAATGCACGCACTTCCAATGTCATTATAAGCACAATTAGAGTACTTGATAAGTAGTTACACAGCTTAATATAAGTTACCTGGAGAAGTAACAATCTCTTTAAGCTTTATTACATTCTCGTGATGCAGCTTCTTTAAAATTTTAATCTCACGTATGGCAGTTATCGGAAACTGTATGTATGAAGTAGATACATACAGTAGATTTAGACAAAATGGAGAAAAAGAATCAAGACTTCCTCAAGCATGGGAATTTTATACGGTCTCATTCAACAATGTGTAAATGAAATAAGTTTTGTGCAGGAAAGGATGTGTTACCCCCTCCCTCTCATTATCCATCCGTATCTTCTTCAAAGCAACAATTTCCCCTGTTCTGATCTCTCTAGCCATGTATACTTGACTGATAAACATCAAACAGTACGCAAAACCGTAAGTCCAGTTAAAAGGGACTTAACAAGCAAGAAAAGAGTACACTGGCACTTTAGTATCAATGAGAAAAAATACATTATGATTCAAAATGAACTACCAGAATAATCAATATGGAAGACAATTATTCTTCAGAAATCAAAACTAAAAGTAATTCAACCAAATAAAAGATGGATATACACACACATATGAGCAATTACGTACAAACCTAAATTGGGAGAAGCTCAAAGGGACGTGGGTGCAATTGTTACCCTTCATAGAACAAATAGGATCATGAAATTAGAACACAGCAGACAGGTTTTAGTGTGTGTTATACAACAAACTTAGAACAAAACAAAGATATCCACAACATAACTCATAAAACAAAGAAAAGAAATAAAGTTTGCAACTCTTGCTTGCAATAACAAATATACAACTCCCCAAAACCCAAATGTACCAAGTTCTATCAGTGCATCCTATCAACATTCTAATCAAAACAATAGATTAATATATTAAACACTCCAACTTGAACCACAAACTCTTCAAAGATCATGAAGACAAAAACTGTAAAAAGTAAGGATCAGCTGTAAAGCAGAAAAAATAACTAATAGTCATGCCTAGCTAGATGAAATAACATTTTAAACCAAATTCACTTTTCCAGAAGATACATGGGCTCAAAATGAAATCTTAGTTATAAAAGTTCTAATCAAAGAATTCCAAAATCATAAGGAATAGTTTGAATTCGAACAGAACAATAGATAGATCTAGAGATGCACAAAGAACCGGTCAACCGATTTTGGACCGGCCCTAAAGAGAACCGCTTAAAAAAGGCCTGGCCCAAGGACCGGTTATAGGTAAAAGCCTGTTTTGGTTTTAAATTTTGAACAATAAGGAATAGTTTGAATTAAAACAGAACAATAGATAGATCTAGAGATGCACAAAGAACCGGTCAACCGATTTTGGACCGGCCCTAAAGAGAAATGCTTAAAAAAGGCCTGGCCCAAGGACCGGTTATAGGTAAAAGCCTGTTTTGGTTTTAAATTTTGAACCTGGGACCGGTTCTTGACCAGTGAAAAAGAAGCACCAGATAATGCCTGAACACCGGTCCTTGGTTAACCGAAAAACCGGTCTAGTCAAGGCCCGGTCAAAGTCTGAAAAAACCAGTCATTTGATCACTTAGACCAAACATTCAACACAAATGGAGTCAGGGTTTATTAGAAAGAATACTGGATGTTTTATATTTAAACACTACTCAACTGGATCACTTAAAGAAGACTAAATACGATGGAAAATGTGAAAAGACGGAAAAAATTAAAAAAAACAAAGACATCAAAAGGATTAATTAGTTTACAATATCTTAATTTAACTCATTTTTTTTTAAGATTTGATTAGTTTGCAATAAAAAGATAATTCAAGATATTTTTTAAAATAATTATTCACTTCATTCTTTTATACATGTATTAGTTGTTTTTAAGGACCAGTTAAGGCCCAGTTACGGACCGGTTAGGACCGTCCATCTGGATTTGGTCCTAAATTTTTGGCCAATGCCCGGTCCTTCAACATCTCTAGATAGATCAATAGCCATCGAAGTGGCATCACAACAACTTCATCATTCAACACGTGAGCTCAACCGCTCAAACGTTGGACAGTGTGAGGGTCATGAGCAGATGAGCTTATAAGGCATAAAGAATGTTCTATCTGTAAGGGCTTGAAAATGGCAACCACAGACCATTAATGCACGTGAGGTTTAATACGCTAGCTCCACCAGAACCATGTTTTGACTAATGATTTCTATAAAAATAAATCAATATCTGAAGTCCAAAACCATATATATTGTTAGGTTGCGTCGAGTCAAATCTGCTCCCATTTTTCCCGTTGCAGGAAAATGGTCCTATCTACCATGAGACAAAAGATCTTCTGTCTAAAGAGATCTGATTCAATCTTAGCTTAGCGTGTTAGCCACAGTTTCATTTCGTATAGCGATAACGCTTTCTCAAATCAAGTCTTTTTTGCTGGAATACAAGATATGTATTTTGGGGAGGGGGAATGAAAAAACTTGCAAGGGAAACATTGACAATATTACAACATTATACATAGAGAAAACACCAACAAACATTTTTTTGCCAGGCTAATAGAATGGTAAAAAACAAAATATTTCCCATAAGAAAGCAAAGATAGAGGAAACAGTTTCAGAATCAACCAACTCATTTAAATTGAGGTGAAAGAGCTCCAACTATGTCAAAAAAAAACGAACACGAACACCGATTAATCATAGTTACTAACACTTCTCAGTTCCCCCCCCCCCCCC